GGCCACACATAAATCTTCATGAGACCTAACACTCTACATCCAAGTCGGAATTTGCATAGGAATGACATCGTAATTGTTATAAACACAACCACGTGTTCCTGATCAATATTAAAATTGGCGTGATCCAATGTGAGAAAGTCACGACATGTGATCTTGATTCAAAAGAGTTGAAAATGAGTAATTTAGTCTTTTTCACATATTAGGAGTGTGTTTGGAAGAAATTTTTGTGGGATTTTAGTCAAAATTATAGCTATTAAAATCAACCCGTGAACTCCACCTATGAGAGGGAAGGTCAAAAATGGTGGCTGATTTGATAGTTAACGGCTAGATTTTTTATTAAAATTCTGATTAAAATTTCTCCCAAACAGGGCCTAGAATAACTCCACAATTTGCCCATGTTTTTAATTACATATTTTTCGAATCCATAATTTATATTCACTTTTTAATCATACGTTTCATAGAACTCGAAAATTTATAAAACTTTTCAAGCATATACTAAATTGAATTGTGGGATTACAAATTGAGCTCATGTTTGATTTAGATAAAAATCAGAACTTTGGACAAGTTTTTCTATGGCCATTAAATTTTATAAGTTTTTCCAATAGTCATCGAACTTATCAAATCGATATCCTAATGATTATTAAACTTTAAAAGTTTTTAGAATGGTTATCAAATTTATAAAATCATTATCTAATTTATCTTTCAATTACTCGACGTTAGAAAATTCGATGGATTTGTTGACATGACACATTATTGTCATTAGTTGATCACAAATAAGCCAAATGTTAAAATTCAATCGCATTTTTGTAAGAACTTTTAATAGATGGAATCGCGTTTTTGACTGATTTTATCGTCAACTAACTACAACATTTTTTTAAACACGCATTCCAACAAATCCACAAACATTATCCACCGCTCATTTTTGTACATTCATAAATTCTTTTGAAATGGAGACTAAGAAGGCAATTCAGATGACAAATCAATGAAAGTTATCTAAATGTCAAGTCAGTGCTCTTAGATAAGCGGTGCTTGGGTGTGGTTGATGGGGGAGGAATAGATCAAATCTAATGGTGGTGGCAAACATTCGTAAGATCTGCATTTACTTAGGATTTGTTTTAAGTCCTATTTTTAGGGGAATATGTTTTATAATAGCAACTTTTTGAAAAATTTTGTGGTTAAAAGGTAAAAATAAAATTAGATTTACGTATAAAATTATTTTATTGAAATAATGTGTGGTTGAAAATATGTTAAAAATTGTTTTTTTATAGAATGAAAACTCAAGCAGGGACTCACTTTTTGGCTTGGCCTTTGGTAGTTGTGGTTAGGGGTGGGCAAAAAAACCGAAAAACCTACCAAACCGACCGAACCAAACCGACTCGGGTCGGTTTGGGTCGGTTTGACATAGTTATTGGTTCGGTTTGGTTTTATTTTAAACAAAACCACGGTGGTTCGGTTTGGTCATGGTTTAAAGCCTTAAACCACCGGTTAACCGACCCAACCCACTTATACATGTTTCTATTTTTATTTTTTTTTTGAAAAAAAAAAGTCAAAATCAAAACTTTTGAAATTTAGATTTTACTTTCCTGGATATTTATTTTCCTAAAATCTAGACATTGTGCTTGAGTTTCTTTCTTGTAACATAA